TGTTTTATCTGATCCAGATGGTTACTAATGCCTTTTCTTTATGGCGGGAACACCATGGGTGTTACAAAGTTGACTAAATCATGCAAAATTCAATGGCAGTGGTGATCAGCAATGTTATATGTTCAAATGTCTACTGTGAAGAATATCATAAAGCCTAAATGCAATCGAATGTAAAACAAAAAACTTATGATTGATGAAAGTAGTGAATCGGTCAGATTTGACCCGAAGACAACAGGAGGGTTAAATCAGCTTATTTGAGGTTTTCTTGGTGCATAAGCCTCACAGAAGAATACATATTGCCTGCTATGATTCTGCTTTTTTCTTGTGCACAAATGAAAGTTTTGCAGATGCATAATATGTATCTTTGCACTTTGAACTCTTCCGTCTAATTTTTGGGAGAAACACAGGTCGTAATTTGTCAGCTGCATGTCTTAAGCATATTAAACGTTGGACTGTTTGACGAGCCCTTTCCCTGTACAGTAGCTGTTGCGCAAACGACAAAAACCCTTATCTGGACTGCAGGAGTTTAGACATTCACGAATCAGATCTCTTCTTCAGAACTCTGTGTTTACAGTTAAAAGTTGACAGATTGATCTTATCTTTTAATCTGTTTGGTGACCCGTTTAAAAAGAAACCGATCCTGCAGGTGTGGACTCGTACTCAGGAATAATACATGATTAGGTAATAGGTAACTTGTTTTCATTTCAAATATTGGCACCTATTTGTTGCAACCTACGCAAAAAAAACTCCCAGAACTGTTGCCAATGCGATATGACGAAATGTGCAGGTGGATTTTTGAACTGTGGTGTAAAAGGGATGTCAAATGTACGAGGGTGGGGAAATACATGAAGTAAAAAAGCTTTGGTAAGTTTGGATTTTTCTAGTTTTAAAAGAATTTAAAGGAATTGAACGTCACACTGTTTTCAGAGAATGAGCAATGGAGACACAAATATGCTTTTTATAGCCTTTCACAATCACACCTTAACACCTTTACCCTTCGCTTTCTTTCTTTCTTTGTCTCTTATTCAGTTGATATTGATTCACAGGAAGGGACACACCTCTGATAAAAACGCCCTGATGCAGCAGCTGCACACATCTCAGAGGCATTTACTCAAATGTATCAGCAAACAGAAGCAAAAATAGGTCAAACAATCGTATCTTGGTTGCAGTTTTCTGTTCGCTGGTTATTTTAACTGACGGCAACATTTAGGTACTTTCCACAGAACCGAAAAAAAGCCAGTGATATGGGCCAGTGAGCAGCCGCCGCTCCACCCCGATGCTTTCTGCAGCGCTCAACCATCTCTTCACCAAACTCACAGCTTAATACTGAAATGTTTCTACTTTTAATTGAGATATTGTGAATTTTAACTATGCCAGCTGTATTTATGGATCTGATAACCTATATATATATATATATTGTAATGGTGAAGCGTGAGTTTCCAAACACACAGAGGGATGTTCAGTGAGGCGGCAGGTGGTGAAAAGGACCTCCTGCAGCTCCATCAGTCAGTTACTGAAAGTGCTGTTTGACCAGGAGGTCGTTTAGAACAGTGGTCCCCAAACCCTGGTCCGCGACCCGGTAGCGGTCCGTGGGTCATTTGGTAGCGGGCCGCACAGATAGATTGAATAAAAAAATATGTTATTGATAATTATTCTGGGTACCACTTTACAATAAGACTACCCTTATAAAGGGTTTACGAATAGTTTGTAATTCATTTATTAATTAGGCTGTGAACACTTTATAAATC